CTGGACCCTGATTGTTCATGCAGTATTTCTTGACACAGAACTGAGAAAAGAAAAAAAAAAAAAAATCACTCTATACCGATGCCACAAGAGTTATTTCAGCTTACATTATAGTCAGACATTCAAAAAAAATTAATAGCTGCTCTTCTCCAGAACTTCTCCAAAAAATCTGAAGTGGAGGGAATGTTTCCTGACTCACTTTAAGAGGCCAACATTACCCAGTTACTAAAATCAGACAGGTTCTTCAATCTTCTTTTTCTTTGTTGGAGATCTTACTTTGTTTATCCTGAATTCAGTGATTAACTTCATGGCCATACTTTGAGCTATCCATCAGGTAGATTACTTCTTTTTCTTTTCATTATCTTACTCTTTTCATTTAAGCTGTGCTTATCTGTGCTTTCCCATTTTGCTTTATTCTCTGTTTCTCTGTATTAATAGCATCTTAGTGCCTTGGGAATGGATTTCGGCCAAGAACTAATTCTACAATTGATACAGCTTTGTAGGGCTCAGGAATGCAAGTTTCCTTGGCAGTTAGGGTCTGGGCACCCCTTGTGTAGACAGCCTGAACCCAGTGCTTTAGCTTTGTTTTGGGCAAACATTGGGAATGTTAAAACCAGGATAGCAGATAGGTCTGTCTGTTGAATGCACAAGCTTGACTTCCCCATGGCTTTACTTTGCTATTTGAAAGTGGTAGCCTCAGCATCTGCATGTCCCTGCAAGTCACAATTACTATGAGTCACTCTGCAGGGGTCGGGTACTGTGTAAGGTCACATCTCTGCCCATATCAGTGTGTCCTTTTGTCTTTTGATGATGTATCTTTTTGCCTTTTGTTTTTTAAGGGAGTTACCTGCATGTGGGAATCTGTTTAGTGTTTAAGGGAGAAAGTAAGCTCAGGGTCTTTGAATACTACCATCTTCCAGGAATCCCAATATTTTATTCTTTCTTCAGTAGTCAGATCATTAATTTTAACGTTTGTTTGGCATGGATTATTAGTTTTTATCCTGTTTGGGGTTTGCTTTCTCTGTTACTCAGATTTGCTCAACTATATTAGCTTGTACTGTTCATAGATCATTCTGTAGATTGGTAAGGTCATTGACTATATCCTGTCATCTCCAATGTACTCCTGAGCCCACCCAATGACTTTTTACTTCTGTTACTGTGTTCTTCAGTTTTATAATTTCCTCTTGTTTTTTGTTTTCAACAACTCCATTTTTTACTGAAAATTTTTGTTTTCATTCTTTTGAGAGAATTAATTTGTGATAGCCAAATAATTTTTATGACAGTTACTTTAAAATGCTTGTCAGATTATTCCATTTGGTCTATTTACTTATTTCATCTGGTGTTGGTGGCAATTCATTATCTTGTTCAAGTTATGGTTTTCTTGGTTTTTGCTATGAAAAGTTATTTTTTCTTGTATCACAGTCATTTTGTCTACTATGCTAGGAGATGCTAGATTGTAATTATTTCACTTCAGCAAGCAGTCACTTTGTTTCGGTTGAGCATGTGGGCCCTAGGTGACCTTTGTGTCCTGTAATTCCAGTGTCAGCTTAATTTTCAGAGCTTTTGCAGTATAATATTTCTGTATAATATTGGGTTCTTCTCGATTACTGTTGGTGCCATCTGAGGGGATATAGAACGGATTTCTGCAGATTGAACTATCGGGGGTCTCTCGGTGTAGAACGTGAATCTTAGGCTAGCTAGAATTTCTGCTTGTGTGGTAGGTTCCTCTGACCAGAGACTCGGTCAGGTCCTACCTAGGGTTGTCAGTGTGAGAGGGGAGTCTCAGGTCACACAGAAAAGGGGTTCCCCACCTGAGCTAATTTTTGTCATGGCGGCCCTCTTTCCAATCTTGAACCAAAGAAGTAACTCTTGGTAGAGGAGGAGAATCTGAGGCCTGGCAGTAAATGAAGGCTAATTTTACTTGTTTGGGGGGCTAAGTAGAGAGTAGGGGTGGCGGTCTTACTGTTGTACTGTATATTTCACTTAGCGTAGATTTGTAATTATGCATGTAATAAAGCACAGTCTTGACTACAAATAAAAAGATAATTGACATGTGATAAATCATGTATGTATATTGTAATACTCAGATCAACCACTACAAAGACTATAAAAAGAGTTATAAACAATCACTACAAAAACCATACAAAGAGATACACTGGAAAACACAAAGTAAATTAAGGTGAAATTCAAAAAAGCTTAAAGAACTTGTCAGGAACTCGAGAAGAGTAAAAGGAGAAAGAATAGAGCACTAATAGGAAATAACTAATAAATAGAACATTTAAGGGCAGATGTATCAGCAGTAACTTCAAATGTATATTTTCTAAGTACTCCAAGTACTAGAGGTTAACAGAATAGATTAAAATAAAATGACCCCAATCCAGTGGCATTGGTAGTAGATTGAATAAAAGATTAGAAAAATATATGTGTTGCCAAAAGCAATCCAAAAAGTAGGAGTGCCTGTATTAATCTTAGATTGAATAGGCCCTCCTTGGTGGTACAGTGGATTAGGACGCAGTACTGCAGGCTGGGGGCAGCTGCTTTAGTGTGAGTTCGATCCCCAGTCCCAGGGGTAATTGATCCACATGGCGTGGCAGACCTCTCCTGGCCCGCCCGCTGCTCCCCTCAGTATGTACTTTGTCGGTCTGTCTGTTCTGCTCCCCACTCTGTTTCTGGTGAAGCTTCTCACCATCCTTACACCTCTGGCTTGTGTCCCAGTTCTGTATGCATAAATATGTGTCTTTAAAAAAATATATTAGATTGAATAGAGTTCAAAGAAGTACTAAAGACATAATGATAAGATGATCAATTTTTATTTTATAACAGTTTATTTTTACATCATTTTGTACATTTTTTTTTTCATCTCATTTGTAATCCCTTCCAGTTTCCCATCACCAAGTCACCTGTGTGCCATCACCATAGTCCAGTGCACTTCCCTCCCCACTCCCCCCGTTTTTGATCCCATTCCCCACTCCACCTCCACAAAATGTCTTTGGTATATGGCTGTTCATTATGCTTGTTATTTTCTCACCTGGTCCATTATACTCCTTCTATGAGCGAAACCATCCGGTATTTTTCTTTCTCTTTCTGGCTTATCTCACTAAGCATGATCTTTTCCAGCTCCATCCAAGTTGCTGCAAAAGACATGTGCTTCTCTTTTTTGGTTGCTGAGTAATATTCCATTGTATATATGTACCACATCTTTTTAATCCAGTCATCTACTTTTGGGCATTTGGGCTGCTTCCATGTTTTTCCAATTGTAAATAAAGCAGCAATAAACATGGGGGTGCAGGTACCTTTTTCAGTCAGTGTTTTTGATACACTAAACTTTAGAGGTCAAAATAAGTAACAACTAAGATAGTTAATTGGTGGGGAAAAAAATCAGAATTGCACAGTTAATCACTCAGGTTGAATTGACATTATAAACCTTACTATCCACCAGCAGCATTATATGTAGTTCTCCCCCCCCCCCAAATATCTGTGGAATACTCATCAAGGTAGACTATGTGTTAGGCCATGGAACAAACCTGAGCAGATTTACTTGGATTGAAATCTTAAGAGAGTGTGTCTGCTGGTCATAATGGAAATCAATCTAGAAATCAATAATGGAAACAAAAGGAACATCTCAAAATACATGGAAAGTAAAAATTTGTTCCTAAGTAAGTAACAGATTTTTGAGGATGTCTCAAAGGAATTAAAAAAAATACATAGTACTGAATTATAATAAAAATAAAATGTATTTAGGAAGTAACTAAACAGTGCTCGGAGGGGAATTTATAGCAATGATTGCTTACAGTAGTGATGAAGAAAGATCTTATGTCAGCAATCACTGAAAATCTAAATAAATATGAATGTAAATCTAAATAGATTGTAATGGTTTGGAAAAGTCAATATAGTAAAACATCATTTACTCGTAAATTTAGTGTGTACATAGGGTTCAGTATATCTGTGGTTTCTGGCATCTTTTGGGAATCATTGACTGTATCCTTTCATCTAAGGAAGGACTTGATTTTATACTGAATTGTATGCTTGTCTATATGTGTGTGTTTGTATGTGTGTGTTTGTATATGTGTGTATATATGTATATGCATATGTTTATGTATAGGCTACCCATCTGTGTCTTGTTTGTTATTGCTGTTGTTAATTGCATAGTATTTTTATTATCAGGATCAAAATCTTGGTGGTCTTGGGTGATTTTTTTCGGTTTGGTCCTTCTAAGGGGGAATGCCAATGATTGTACATCTTTAATACCCTTCTCCTTACTTCTACTAGCTAATATTATGAGCCAAGTCGTCTTGACCTCTCTTGCATAGCCTTCTCACAGGTTGCATTTTTACTGAAATCAAGGCCATCTTACATAGAACTACTGTATGGATTTTTGGGATGATTACTTTCAAAAAAGTTTGATATTATCTTGTAGTTTTAACCCTAAGTTGACCTGCAGTATTTTTCACATTATCCATTCTCAGTACTGTGGTTTTGCCATTCACACTCAATAGTGTTCTTTTTTTTTTTTTGAATGGACTAATACTTATGCTTCTTGTCCACTCAGTAGTCTCATTGTATTCATGTTCTGTCATCCGGTTAATATAGAGTATGTTTCACGATGCATTTCCTATTCACCTCCCTTATTTAGAGTGGGGATTCTCTTTCATGTGAATGTGCTTCCATTTTCTAGGAGACCATTTTGTATGTTTTTTGGAACTATCTATTACTATATTATTATTATTTGAGGCAGTTAGATGAATTTGAAAGTTATCGGTGGGTTTCCCTATAGAGCTTTCAGAGTTAATGAATCATAGGTTTATTTCAATGGATTTTAGAAAACTCAAGGCACTATCAAAACACTACAATACTATGTTAATTTTCTGAATCATGTAGGCTCCAGTAGGGTATTTATAGTTATGAAACACATGGCTTCTTCTTATAAATGACGATGCCTTGGTGTTTTGTTTCCATGCTCTGAGGATTTTGCTTAAATTATCATTTGATTTTTGCTTTTACAGTCAATGCTTCGAGGGAGAGGAGGTTGCTATAAGCATACATTCTATGGCATTGAAAGCCATCGTTGCATGGAAACCACCCCAAGTTTGGCCTGTGCAAATAAATGTGTCTTCTGTTGGCGGTAAGTAAAAATGAACAGCTGTGGTGGCTAAACATATAATGACTTGTATAATCAATTTATGACCCAATACTCTACTTTCCTAGAGCTTTGCTATTTCTTAGTCCCATTCCTAATATTATTTGTGCATATGGATTATTTTTTATAAACTAGTTTTATAAGAGCTTTGTCAAATATTTTAGACTTTTGAAGACCTAGTTTTAGCTTTGTGAATTGTTTTAATTATATCTTTGTTTTCTGTTTCAATAATCTATTTATTGATATTGCTTGATTAGTACTTAGTTGTTAAATTGAAACTGTTTTCTGATTTCCACTATAATATCATTGTAAATCATGGGTCAAAGACATATTTTAACTTCTAACACATAGATTAGATTTTGGGATTCTGTTCTTGAAACTAAATTTCAACCAGATTGTTTTATTGCATGTAGTTTCTAGTCTTTCTAAACTTTAATTTATACTGCCAGGTTTTAGTGCAATTACAAGTAAAAAAAAGTGGTAAATTTTATTTTCCTTATTTTTTTCTTTCCAGCACTTACTTCTTTGGAAAAATCCAAGTTTCTATTTAACATCATGTTTCTTTTGCCTGGAAAATTCCCTGTAGCATATCTTTAATGTAGGTTTGTTGACAAGGAAATCTCTCATAGTTTTGAAAGATACTGTTATTGGGTATAGAATGTTGGCTTGACAAGTTTTGTTTTGCTAGTATTCTTCTCAGATGTTATTATAACAATGTTTTATCTGTCCTTTATTTTTGACGAGATGTCACATATAACTTTTATTGTTGTTCTTTTCTCTAAAGATTTAAAGATTTTTCTTAATTTGTTTTGTTTTTATCAATTTGAAGATGGTATTTTAAATCTTTTTTTCCTTTGTAAAATATATGGTGGGTGTTTGTAAGCTTCTTGGGTATGTGGTTAATTGTTTCTCATTAGCATTGAGAAATTGTAGGCCATAATTTTTCTGTTATTCTGCTTTGTTCTGTTTTTCTTCAGGTGTTCCAGTTATGCATATTTTGTCTTACAGGTTTTGGACCCAGTGTTCTTTTTTTTGTATTCACTTTTTTGGGGGGGGGGTGTCTTTTTTTTGTGCTTTATTTAACTTATTTGTATTGTTCTTCAAGTTTTATTTTTTTTAATCATTACTCAGCTATTGTCAGTCTGTAGTTGAGCCTGTTAAAGGCTTAACTTCTCATATTTAACATTTTTATTTAATTATGTGTTATAATTTCCTTCTTGGATGAATTTACCTATCTCTTTCATGTTACACACAAATATCTATTTGTACTTTTTTTTTTTTTTTTAAGATTTATTTATTTATTCATACAGAACTGGGGTACAGGCCAGAGGCTCAGGGGCGGTGAGAGGCTTCACCAGAGACAGAGTGGGGAGCAGAACAGGCAGATCGACGAAGTACACTGCTGAGGGGAGCAGCGGGCGGGTCAGGAGAGGTCTGGCTCGCCATGTGGTCTCCTCCGGGGCAGGCGGCAGGCGGGAATCGAACTCATGCGGAAGTGGCTTCAGATTCTCAGTGCTGTGCTTTAACCCGCTACGCCACCAGGGAGGGCCCCCTATTTGTACTTTTAACATATTAATCATAGTTTAAAAATTTTTCCACTAAATAGTTATAACACCTTATCAGATGATTTCATCTTGTTGCTTTGTTTACAGAAAATGTTTTTCCTTGCATTTTCATATGTCTCTTTTTTGTTGTTGTTTGTTTAAAACAGACATCATATTTTGTACATTAGAGATAAGATGAATGCTTTATTTGTGTTTGCAAATTGGCACATGTTTACTTTCTGTCCTTTCTTGTTTGGAGTTTGAATTAATCTAATAGTAGTTGGGGTTTAGTTGAGGTTTGTTGTTTTTGTGCTTACCGTCCATGAACCACTGACTTAAAAAATGTTGTTAGGAATATTTTTTTGCCAGATAGTTTTTCTCCAGGTATAACTTATCCTCAGATTTGTTTTCTTATTGTACCTCCTCTAAGGAGGGTTTATCACTATGCAATTGCAGCTCTTCCAACAGTATTCTACTGATGGTATCAGGGATCAGGAGAATACACACTTTGTTTTATTTTGATTAAACCTCAGTTCTGACCAGGTACGTCTCTGTTCACCTAATTTCTGCTAGGTGTCATGACTTAATTTAGAAATACAGCTATAAACAGGTAAATCTTTAGGAGGAAACTAACCCTGATTTTATGATTTTATGGAATGACCTCACAGTAGATGACTAATTGAGATCCTGTTGCAGGATTCTTTTAGAACTTCTGTTCTTTTCCTAGGCACCATACTAATCCTGTGGGTACCGAGTGGCGGTGGAAGATGGACCAGCCTGAAATGATCTTAAAAGAAGCCATTGAAAATCATCAGAGCATGATCAAGCAGTTTAAAGGTATTTGTTTTCCCTCTACAAAAGAATGCTCATAGTCTTAATTGAATTGGCAGAGGAATTTCCTCTTTGGCAGAATTTTTGTCACCTCTGGCAAATTTTCATATAGTGAAGTGAAACTGTATAGAAATACTACATATATTTTGGCCTTTTAAATTTTTACTGATAACTTATAGCCTATCTGATGGAAGAACTAAAAATTTTAATTCAAACCATAGCATTTTATAACATGTTACACTTAGCCTCTGTTTTGTCTGAGAATGCGTCATGATCTTTCCTGCAATCTTTTGCTGTTTTGCCTTCCTGAGCACAAAGCAACCTTCTAAATGGGCTGAAATTTTAATTACTAGAAAATTTATAAATAATAACAGTATTGGGAAAGGAATTCTTAATAGATGCTCTATAGTGATATGATAAAGTTCTACCCTTCAGGTTCTAGAATTTCCTCATCTAGTTTTATATCATACTTAAAGATGTATGAATTTACTGAAAACTATAGATTCTCAAGTATACATCAGAATCATTTGGAGGACTTGTTAAAGCATGGGTTCCTGGTCTCCCCCAAGAGTGATTTAAGTCTAAGCTAGGGACCAAGAATGTGCTTTTCTAACAGGTTTCCATGTGGTATTGATTTTGAACTAAGACCTACTTTTGTAGGTATATAAGGTAGATTTGACAGCCTTGTAAAATCACAGCTGTAGATGATGTAGACTGAAATTTGTTAGTTTCCCTGCTAAATCTATGCTTCTACTGTTTGCATCTACTGTTTGGAACTCCTCTCTTCCGTACTTTCAGAGACAACAGCAAAAAGTGATTATAACCCAGGTTATCTTGATATAGGCATATATTAGAGTGGTGCTAACATCATATGAGATTCTTTGTAAATCTCAGGGTTTTTTTTTTTTTTTAATACAAATGATTTGTTGTATCAGGTTGCAGTTTATGATTATAGTACATTTCTAACACTTTTTTTTTCTGGCAACACCAGATAGTTTTCTAGTTCTCATCAGACACTGACTGGGTGCTATAACAGAGAGTATCAGATCTCAAAGGTCCTATAAAACTACCCCCATTTCTGACACTAATCACAAGTCCAGATGGTTACTTTGTTATATAGGACAGGGAGAGAGGCCACTCCAAAACCCCCAAACTTGTCTGCATTAGGTAGGTTCTGCCATCTGCTGCATCAAGAAAAAACATACTCTAGATTGTGTAAGACCTTCAATAGAAAGGAATCTTAATACAATTAGTATGCAACACAGAAAAGGGAAAGAATAAAGTTTCCAAAGTAGCACCTGAAGTAAGCCATTCCCTCATGGGTAAATGTCCAGCCAAACAGGGTTGGCCCAAAGCAGGGCCTCTGAGGCGGAAAGCCTGCCACAAGAGTAGAGTACCTTCTGGCGGGTACCCATTGAAAGGGGCCAGATATGACCAGATAAGTGTAGAAGAAAAAGAGCAAATTCAGAATCAAGATAAATGCTGCCATTGTTAACCTCCCCATGGGTCACACACCCACTTCTGTTTAACCAGTCCGGGTCGAAAACCAAGTGCAGTGTGTTCAAATGTCTGTTTTCTCCACGTGCCTCCTCCAGGTCTCCTTACTCTCCATCCATCTCTCTTCCTTCCCCAGTACGCGCTCCAGCTTTTCTCCTCCTTGTTCAGCTCTACCCTCCCTTGGGTGGGGTAGGGACCCTGGTATCTCCCCTTTTCCTGGAGACCATCCTGTTACAATTTGTGCTTCTGACCTACCTGTTATAAATCTATTTCCCATAACCCCCTCCTCATATTCAGTTATTTTGGTAGAGTTTATTTATAAAAGTTAGCATAGAAGATGCTGGTGACCAGCTATATGAAGAGGTACATAGGGCAGGGGCTGGGAGTGTCTTGAGATATGAGATTCTGTCCTTGTAGAATTGGGGTGCCCCAACTTCCTGGCATGTGAAAAAGCCTTCACTAGCCCTGGAGCTCATGGAGCGCATCATCTCTTTTTTTTTTTAAGAATTTTTATAGAGCTTAAGCTGTAACCCCCTCCTCCACTTCCCAAAGGTCCTTGGGTGTGGCTGAAAATTCCAGCAGCAGGTGGGCCAGGAGAGGTCTACCACGCCATGTGGGTCACCTTCCTGGCTGGAGATCAGACTCGTGTTGCAGTGGCTGTGGATAGTTTTACAGTGCTGTGCTTTAATCTGTTGCGCCACCAGGGAGGGCCCTTGTCCTTAGTCTTATGAGAAATTAAGATAATGCAAATACCGACTCAAGACCTGTAGTAGTTTATATAGTCAGTCAATAATATACTTCTATTTTATTCTTATTTTTCTGTACTAGTAACTTTCTTTTGGTTTAGTGCTTAGTCAACCCAACCCTTAAATAGTAGGATGATGACTGAGGATACATGTTTCCTAAACACCATAAAACCTTCCTGAATAAAACATGTCCTAGACATTTTGTGTGGGAAGGAAGCAGCCCTGAGAAGTACATTCACTTTTCCATTCTGAGCTGTCCTTGATACACAATGACAATCAGGGTTTTGATAATAATTTTTCTGACAGGAGCAATTTGACAAATGCATTTCAAATGAAAATAAGTAATAAATAAGTCATGAGCCCAACTTTATTCATGTTAATAATATGTGCCAGGTGAGCTCAGTGAATACATGTTCTTTATTGTATGCAGAGCTTGTCCTGTGAGGAAGGTCTATATGATTAGTAACCTTGTGCTTACTTTAATCAGCAGGCATCCCAAGTGGTTTGTCTTCCTTCAGGTTCCCAGGGTATAAGAAACAAGTAAGTTTAAAATATATATTGTCTAGTAGGAGGATGATAGGTACAAGATTGCAGGGGAAAGGGATAAAAAATGGAAACATATCTGTGGGGAAGTGAATCCTTAGTAGAGATAGGAGTCCTTAACAGGGAGAGACTTTTCCCTAGAAATTCAACAACTGCCGTCAGTTTCAGTTTAAAAAATAGTTTTTTTAAATAAGATATCTGCTATAAATAGATATCTACTATACTACAGCAAAGTTTTTTTCATACCTTGATTGACTTGATGAAATCTTGCTACATCAGCAAAACATCTACTTCATCAACAAAATAGGAAGATTTTCGGTTTACAACGGGATATTGTATACTGACACTTTTGGGTGCCAAGGCAGTTTTTCTTATTCTTTCAAAGGGTTAAGGCATTAAGGAATGTTCATTCATTATATGTTGCATTTTCACAAAGACTGAGAGGTCCCTAAATTTCCAGTTTGGATTGTGGTGACTGTTAGTTAATACCCTTTTACTGCATTCTGACATTAATTTTTGAAAAATGTCTTATTGCTATAATTATCAAAGTAATTCTTTCTGTGAAATAAATTATATTGTATTATGAAAGAAAAAACTAAAGGGTAAAACACATAATTTGTAAGGATCCAGAGCTTTTCTGGAAAATTGGTGATTATCTGCAATACTTCAAAGACAAAAATGTCAGTAGTTTTCTTTGTTAAAACATTGTAAATTTGGCAAAATTATAGAACTTTAATCTGTCGGAATATTTGTATGTTTTCTATATTCTTGACTCTCAGCAGAAAATAGACTAAACTGTTCAAATTGATAGTGGTTTTATTTTATTGCAGACATTCACTAGACAGCATGTCTTTATAACTTCATTCACTTCTTATCAATGATCTCAAGTTTTCTTTTTCATGAATCCATGTTCCTCCTGTAGTCATTGAATACTTTGTCTTATCTTTTATTCATCCTTAAAGGGATAGGATATTAATGGAACTATTTGCTTTCGGGGATAATCAGCCCCTTAATAAGGATGGTGAGACTAATGCAAATCACTCTACTCTTCTGAGTCTCATGCCCTCACCTGGGTTCAGCTCTGACGTGGGTTTTACTTTTGAGCTCTAAAGATGTAGAAATTTAACTCTGGATCTCATTTCACCTCCTGGTGAAGGGTCTATTCTTTATCTTCCTTAAATCTGAACTCCTTAATGGAGATTAGCCTGGAGAAGTGGCTTGTCTCCTTTTGATCTAAAGGTACTCACTTACAGACGCTCTGCAGGAAGCTAGTCCCTTTCTCTTTTCCCATGCCATATTAGAGTTTTCCTGTTAGAGCCAAATGCTGTTACTCTATGGCCCCCTGTGGATTAAAAAAGCAAAACAAGATAATAAAACAAAAGAAAAGGAGTGTTTCTGGTTTCCTTAGTTGGAACTTGAAGTATATTTTCCTATAGGAATAAATTATTTGAATTTCATTAGGTTATATTGAAGCAAGTTTTGTTAGTACTGTAATTTAAGTATATTACAGACTAATTTGGTGTTTGGGTTTTTTTTTTTTTAAGATTATTTATTTATGCATATAGAACTGAGATATAGGCCAGAGGTACAGGGGTTATGGTACAGGTACAGGTACAGGTACAGGGGGGATTCACCAGAGACAGAGTGGAGAGCAGAACAGGCAGATGTACTGAAATGCAATGCTGAGGGGAGCAGCAGATGAGTCAAGAGAGGTCTGCCACACCATGTGGGTCACCTCCCTGGCCAGGGATTATACTTGTGCTGCAGTGACTGCATTAGCTTCCTAGTGTTGTGCTTTAACCCATTGCGCCATCTGAGGGCCCTATTTGGGGTTTTGAATGGTAGCTTGATCTCCATTCTAATAATAGTGTATGGGAATATGAATGAATGCTTAGGAACATTATAGGCAATTTTCAAGGATTTGAAGCCATTTCCTTATTAGTTATATTCTGGATTCTGGAATCCCCTACTTCTTCCTCTCCTCAGAGTTCTATTCTTAATTCATTGACAATTTTCTTTATTCTTCTTGAAATCATGTTTTCTTATGTGTTCCCACTTTCCCCCCACTGATGACCAACCTCCTTTTCTGTGGATTGGATTCAGTCATTTTTTTTAATTTCATCCTTATGTAGAGTGAAGCTTGTGGGTATTGTTACTTATTGATTTGAGTTTCCAGCTTTAGCTAAGTGGCCATTCTTGAACAGAGTTTGAAGATATTCTGATTTTTTAAATGCTTTCCTTTTGTGCTTCTGTTCTCATTTCCAAGGGCAATCATTGTCTTTTCAGTTACTTCGTTGAATGATTAAAATAGTTTTCTTCTCATGACCTTTATTAACTTTCCATTTATATCCATGCAAAATTAACTTTATATTGATTACAAGTGGGTCAGATATTCAGTGCAGCTCAGCATCTTTTCAAAGATACCCTCTGAAATACCACCATAGTGGGGAGATAGTTCCCAGAGAATAAATTGAAATTTCTTTAGCTCAATTTCATGACAGTTAAGCAGCTATTAAATGAGCAAACTCTGTCATCTTGGTGCTGAAGATTCAAAGATGAAAAGACATATACGTTGCTGGTTATTTTTATATATAGTTTAAGCTAAAAATGAAGTAATGCAAAAAGAAATAGCCTCCAACAGATGTTTTCACAAGCAAGGTGTGCGCAGGTACATATCCAAGAAAGAGAAAGGTGGAGTGGGGAGGAGAACACCACCTGCTGATGGTTCCTTTCTGAAGCTTATTTGTGAGAAACCTTACAGTGTAAGTTTCTATATCAGAGATAATTACAAGTGATCATTCAGCCAGGAGGTTTCTTAGGAATGTCTTTAGGAACAATATTATAAGAAGAAATAATTTTTTCTTTCTGATTGCCTAAGCTTTAGAAATAGGTATCCTCTTTGTTGAGCAATAGATCATGTTTGTGTATTACTTGGTTTATTGCTATGACATTAGGGTAAACATTCTGGAGTATTTATTTCTGCTTTTACTTCTTTCTGTGAGAAAAAGAATGCTTTGTAGTTCATTGATCACCTTAGCGATCCTCTACAATTAGGAAACTTCATGTTAAAAAAAATGTTAGACTTGCTAAAGCAAAAAAAAAAAAAAATCAGTAACAAAGCAGGGTATTGTGAAAGGATAAGGTTTAGGGAAACATTAAGAAACTTTGTGTGTGTGTGTGTGTGTGTGTGTGAAACACACACACAGATGAATATAGATTTACCATTGAATTAGACTGAATTCCTTCTCCAGAACTACTTTCTATTAGAAATTTAGAGGATATCTTATTTCCTGACAGATTTCTTTGAGAATTGTGAAGGAAGGCATGGGGTTGAGTCCCTCAGGGCCTTGTTTTTGGAAGCCTCTCTAATTATCTCTGGCAGTGAGTATGAAATAGAAATGCGCTTTTATCAAAGAGTGAAAAGTTTTACATATTCTTCTCAACACCTTACTTTTGAGAAAATTAGGATAATTTTTAAATCCCAGAACCATTACAATAAATGATTTACATCAGGGTTTTTGTTGTCTTCAATTTTATTGTTGTAGTTGTTAAGTGTCAGGTATGGTATTTTTAGTGTACCTCTCTAAGAAGAGGGTGGTTGTTCCTCTTTGCTTTAAAATTTTCCTCTTCTTCCGTGGCTGTTCCTTTGTCCTTGCCCAGATGTGTGAGTGTCCTTGTGCTAAGTCCTTCGTTGTCTTCTCTATACTTACTCCTCGGTAATCTTATTTGGCTTCCGAATTGAAATAGCTTCCACTGGCTTATTTTCAGTTAGTCTTTGCTCCCAGAATCCAAACTTCAACTTTGGACACACATTCAGGTATCTGACAGACATATCGAGCCTCACATACCTAAAATTTTAACGGATGGCTTCTCCCCACTCCCAAAATCTGTTGCTAAGCATTAACTTCATGTCTTAAGATGTCAGTGCTTGCCCAGGCCAAAAACTTCATAGAAAGTGCTGGCACTTCTTTTTCTCTCTTACCCACATCCAATCCAGTAGGAAATCCTTCAAAATAGATTCATTCATGCCACCTCCACTGTCCACCTTGGTGTAAGCCGTCATCATTTCTTGCTTAGGTTATATAGTAGCCACTTGGTGGGCAATCCTTTCTGCTTGTCCCCCCTGGGCTCAGTGTGGCACACTGTTGTGCACTGATCTACTTAAAATATAAATTAGATTGTGTCATCCTTCTCAGACTCTACATGTTGCTCAGACTGGACAGGCAGCTTCTAGCACTGAGGGCCTTTCTCTGTCAGTTGCAGCCTGGAATGCCCCCTCATTCTTTAGGCTTTTGCTCTGCTTCTCGTCTCCTTCTAGTCAGATCTCACTCACCTTTTCAGCTGGCTGGTCCTGAGCACCCTATTTTGCAGGGCAGCCTGTGTCTTTTTCTTCCTGATGCTCCAGATCTTCCATGTTCTGTTCTGTCCTTCTTATCTGTTGATATATGCACATACTAAAGAAATCCATATACTTTATGATAGCCATTATCCATATGGACCCTGTGGATTTTAATTAAGGAAAATTAAGTAAAAACTTAAAATCTAGTTTTTTGGTGATGCTGCATTTCAAGTTCTCAAGAGGTATAGTGATTGGAAGTTACTGTATTAACTAGCTCATGTGAGGGTATTTCCATTATCTCAGAAATTTTTACTGAACCACTGTGTTATAGAATTTACTGATTTATCTTTGTTTATTCTGTTTCTCACATGCTAGAGTATAAACTTCACAAAGGCAGAAGTTTTTCTCTGTTTATAGAAAATGTGCCTAGAACAGTACTTGGCATATAGTAGGTGATCAATAAATATATTTTGAACTGTTTCATTTAAAAACTGAATTTCTTTTTTTTTTTAAAAATAATAGTTTATTTTTACATCATTTTGTGCCTTTTTCCATCTCAGTTGTAACCCCTGTGGGCTTCCCATCACCAGAGTCCAGTGCACTTCCCTCCCCTACATTGTTAAGAACTGAATTTCTATTCCAATTTGCTAAATAAAAAATTTTATTACCGTAAAAATAGCAATAACATTTTTGAATGCTTATGTAGTAGACTGGCATTCATGTGACTTATTTCATTGAATTCTTGTAATAGTTGTATGTGTGTGTTTAAATTCCCACTGTAAATGGTATAGAGATGGTGAGTGGCTTGACCAAGAAACAGAGCAGCTTAGTGGTAGAGTCTGGTGGTTATGACCCATTCAGTGCTCAGTTATTCTGCTTTCTGACTTAGAGGTTAATTTTGTAACTTAGATTAAGTATGCCCTTCTTTTCTTCTGCTCACGGGGTGGGGGGGATTAAAGTTAATGATATTTTTTGCCAAACGGAAATTTTATGCTTAATGCTGAGTTGTCTTGGCAACACAGAGTGAGTTAAGGATCAAATTTTATTTAAAACCTTGATTCACTTGAGTTAAGATCTTAGATTCCAATAACCTAAAAAATATTCATCCAAAAATACTGACATGAAATACTTTATGAGAATTGAAGTTAGATAGTTATGAAAGAAGATATTACCTGCCACTTTGAGATTCTATGGATTTTAGCCTATGTTATGTTGATTTGATCTTAGGTATTTGCTTGCACTTGCATATTTCCAGAGAGAGAGAGAAAAAAATAAATAAAATCATTTCCTAGAAACAAAGGTGAAAGTGAACTAACTCTATGTTCTTTAGGTTTGCTGTTGTGTTAGGGTGACAGTGATGTGGGTGTAATCATTTTTAAGAAGCCAGGATAAAATGCTGATAATAACAAGCTTCAATTAATGTGTTTTGTGTGCTAGGTGCTCTGCTAAGGCCTTAATATATATTATCTCATTTAATCCTAATGAAAATTATTTGAGGTAGGTCATTCTTTTACCTAGTTAAAAAAAACTATGTCTCAAAGGGGCGGGGCTAGTAAGAAACTGAGAGGGAATATGAGTGTGCTTTCCCTCACTGCCAATCTTCTCAAGGGGCCTGTATTCTTCAGAGAGAAAATATTCTTCCAAAAGAAGCTGGAGATAATTGATAGAAATGTATGAAGTATAGGAGATAGATTTTTGTTTGCCTTTTTACCCTCTTTCCAAAGTTGAGACTTTCATGAATGTCACACTGTACACTAGAATCAGATCCAGAGCATCAAAAAGTGTTCACACTTGAATCCTATTCCTAGAGCTTACAATTTAATTGGCTTGGGATACTAGCTGGGCACTGGAATTTTCAAAATTTCTTCGGGTAATTACTGGAATTGAAATCAGTGGCGAGTGCCAGTGAACCCCAAACTCACCTGCACACAACAGGGGAGCTTGAAAAGTGACCAGAGCCTGTGCCCCTCCCCCATAGACTTATGTCATTGGTCTGTCTGGCAGGCTAGAGTTTGTGAGTAGGTAAGTTTGGGAACTCCTGGTTTATGTGGTGGTTTTTAAATTTTGGTTGAACATTAGAATTACCTGGGGGGACTTTTAAGGCTTCCATTATGGTTTGTACTCAATCTAAACAGAATCTTTGACGGTGGAGTAGTTTTTGGTGAGCAATGGTTTTTGATACCATCCAGATAATTCTAATATGAAGCCAAAGGTAAGAAATATGGCTTTCTTCTTTTCTCCCTTATATTCTTTTGAACCATCTGTGTGTAGTTATTGAACTCAGAATATTTAAAGGAAGAATGAAGGTGGAAATGATTAGTCTAGAAGAGGCTTTTCCTTATGTAGATATACTGACTACATTTTTTTGACCAACATGAATTGCAGAACTAAACAAATTATGGAATATATCTTCTGCATTCCAAAAACTAGCCAACAATTTGGTTTTGCAGCCTTGTATTGATACATCTTAATTAATACTAAAGCCAAGGATGAGATCGCTAGCGGGCTTTTCTAAACCATTCTAGTTTTTTCTCTCTCTTTGTATATTTGACTGGTGTCAAGGTGAATTTGTCCTACATAATCAAGTAACCATTAAGAAAAATTTTTAATTTTAATTAAAAATCCCAAAAGTGATATCCTCTGTGTGTGTGTGTTGCTAAGTTTGCTCCCTCTCTGTGCTCTCCAGGAGTACCAGGTGTCAAAGAAGAACGTTTTGAAGAGGGAATGACAGTGAAGCACTGTGCATTGTCCCTAGTGGGAGAACCCATAATGTACCCAGAAATCAACAGGTTTTTGAAGCTACTGCATGAGTATAAAATCTCTAGTTTCTTGGTCACAAATGCACAGTTCCCTGTAGAAATCAGGTAAGTGGTCCAGCTTATTAAGATATGTTGCTTGATTCTGAGTTTGACTGAAAAGTACAACTAAGAGGATGCAAAAATGATTTATTGATTACTAAATACTATAAAAGTTGGTTGTAGGGCAGCAGAGAAGCTCCTACTCTTAAAAATTCATGCTATGAGAGAAGATAACATTAGCAAAAAGAATAGGGATACAGAAAAGTTGATGGGGAATTCAGAAGTGAATGTAACCCTTCAAGATGTGAGAAAGAGGGTTAAACTTCTCAGAAAAGCCATAATTTTAGTTAGACCTTAAGATATGAATGGGATTGGCCCTCAGGGACAGGTAGAATATTAGATTTTTATTAAGAACCTTTTGAGAAAGATGAGTGTTGCAGTATTTGTGTAACCATTATGTAAAAGAGTGTGTCAAAGGGACTGGCAGCTGGAAACCAAGTTTGCCTGTAGAGTAGTGAAATAAAGTGTTAGGAGGCCCCTGCTTTTAAGCTAACATGTGTATAACTTGAGATCTCTTTGTGCTAAACTCTCTCACTCCTACTCCCTGGTCCAAAAGAAAATGCATAAAGAAATATGTAAGTGTAAATAATAATGTTTCAGTTCTACCAGTTAGGAGAAGTCAAAATAACAGTTATCTCTGATGCCTCAGTAACTTTCAGGAAAACAAGGCACGCTGGTTTGAATTTTGAAAGTTGTTAAGACACTTAGTGCTAATTGTGACTGGATCATAAAAGCTACTTCTATTCAGAAAAAACTCATTTGTTCCACTAACAGGTGTTTTTAGTGGTAGGTTTGATAGGTGGATAGCTGATAGCATGCATCAGATATCTTTTGGGTAGTCACTTCCTTCAAAACCAAGTTACCCAAGCATTAATTTAGCTCATAATTCTGTGAATTGGCTGGGAGGTCTTCTTAATCTCGGCAGACTTTGCTGGTCTCAGTGTTGGTTATGTGTCCAGTCTGTTGGCGGATCCGCAGAGCTGGCTGGTTTCTGATGGCCTTGGCTAGGACAACAGGGGCTCTGTTCATAGAGATGCTCATCCTCCAGGAAGTTAGTGTGGACATCACATGGTGGTGGGGTTTCAAAGAGCAGCCAGAGCACAGGCATCTTTAAAACTTCTGTTTGTGTCACTTTTACTCACTTCTCATTGGCCACTGCAAGCCAAGTGGCTGAGCTTACAGTCAGTGAAAGGCATTCAGAACTGCAAGGCAAGGGGACATGGGTGCAGGGAAAGGAGGGGTTTAGAGCCATTTTTGCAGTTTACTAAATTGCAGTTGACTGTACTTGTCAAAGAGGATAGCCTTGCACCGCTGGCATCTTTGTTTTAAAAAAAATGTGATCATGTGGGATGACCTGGAGAGTCTTAAGGCCAGAAGTCTCAAGCTGGCAGTTGATAAGAAGTAGGTTTTATTTGCTATGAATTATGTTTAAAACCGGTCTTTGAGCCAACATTTAAAATCAGAGATTTTGCATAAAATCTGGACTTCTGACGTTTGGGGGAAAAAAAAAAAAAGAGACAATCTGGCAAAAACTGTCAAGAGATAAATGAAGTTCTGATTTTTACCTTCAGAGCACTGCAATGTGTCTGTTTACTCACAACACTTCTAATACCAGATACGTGGGTTTTCTCACACCATGCTCTAACTGGGATGGCCTACAGTTAGTTCACTTCTGACACCTACCTGGAGTTAGTGAGACCACACAGGGCAGGAGCCAAGTTCCACAGATGGCCCCTCTGCTTCAAGCCCCAGTCAAGTTTCAGGTTGCCACCTGTACCCTCTAACCAACAGGCTGTGAGTGGGGCTTCCCATGATTCCCTCCTAAAGTTTAACAAGTTGCTAAAACAGCTCACAGAATTCAGAAGACAATTTACTTACCACTTCTGGTTTATTATAAAGGCCACAACTCAGGAATGACCAGATGGCAGAGATGCACAGGACAGGTATTGGGGTGCCACTCTACCAGCACCTCGATGTGTTCACCAGTGCACTCCGTAAACCCCATCATTTAGGTTTTTTTATGGAGGCTTTGTCTATAGGAGGATTGATAAAATCATCTGCCATTGGTAATTACTGAATCTGGAGCCCCTCTCCCCTCTCTGGAGGTTGGGGTTAGGGCTGAAAGTTCTGACAGCCAGCTTCTATCCTGAAGCAGTTCACTAAGAGCTACCTCACTAGCTTTCATTCTGTTGTGATTGAAAAGGGTTTATAATGAATAACAGGATTCTTCCCTTGCCTCTCATTAAGGAAGTTGCTCAGGTTTTTGAGCTCTGTGACAGGAGGTAGGGCCAGAGACCAAACACATATTTCTAATTGTATCACAGTGGCACACCATGCTGTAGATTTCTTTTCTCTGAAACCTGTGCTTTAAAATACTCCCCACTCTACCATTTCATTGTCTCCTCAACCCTGAACTTGAACATCTACCACTTGGCAGAAGAATTGCTCTGTTGATTCTCTTATAGAAGAGGAATTTCTGTCGCTGTTTCTAACAAATGTGAAACTGATAGACTGTGAGTAGAACATAGTTCAGGAGAAAAGGAAATATATCACGTTGATAGAAGGCAAGAATATTCTTGTGTATTTTGTATGCTGTGTTTTGACACCAAAAGAACTTCCTTTTTCTTTAAAAAATGACTTGCTTGAGGGCCCTCCCTGGTGGCGCAGCGGGTTAAAGCACAGCACTGACAAGCTAAAGCCACTTCCACATGAGTTCGATTCCCGCCTGCCGCCTGCCCCGGAGGAGACCACATGGCGAGCCAGACCTCTCCTGACCCGCCCCCTGCTCCCCTCAGCAGTGTGCTTCGTCTATCTACCTGTTCTGCTCCCCACTCTGTCTCTGGTGAAGCCTCTCGCCACCCCTGATCCTCTGGCCTGTACCCCAGTTCTGTATGCACAAATAGATAAACCTTTAAAAAAAAAAAAAGACTTGCTTGAGTCACAGTTTATCTAGGCTCCTACAGACCTGTGAGTTAGGATCCTTATCCAAGTCTCTGGACAGCCATTCATCCCGACAGTCAGAAAGATCGTCATTGTTCTGCTAGAGCTCTCAATGTCAGTGTTTCTTATAAATTCTTCCGTGCATGTGCCCAAGACCTATAGTGAGACACCTGGCTGAGAGCAGCCCTCTGAGAGCCATGCCAGGGCCCGGGACAAGGCGGTATCCACATGACTGCGCTGTTCTCCTTTCTGAGAACCCTCGGAGAGCTCACTTGTGCCTTGTGGACATTTGAATCCTATAACTGTGCGGACTTCTGTGCCAGTGTGTTGGAGAGTTCAGAGTCAAATGGATACTTTGTGGTAGTCTTATTACTCTTTGCTACATCTGTAGTCTACCTTTGTTTTCATTTTATTTGAGTTTTTATCTGTTAGTATTATTTTTAAGTTTGCATTTTTTCTCTTTTGGTAAATACTGATAATTCAAAGCTTTCTGTCTACATACAAAGACAGAGCTGTGTTCCATATTTAACTACAACTCATTTGACTTTGTAGACTGCTTCCCACCACCAGATTTGACCCTTTGTACATTTACTTTTGTGCATCTTCTTCAGGGAACACACATGTGAGCTTCATCTCTTTCAGTGGCTTCTTTCACCTGTATTTCTGTTTTGTTTGCTCTGTGTCTGCTTTTTTCTTGTTAAGACATTCACCATATGTATTAGAGAACCTCTGTAAATTGGATAGCTCTTCATATAATTAGATGCTTAGTAAATGAAGAAACACATGACTTTTAATGAAAATGAAATTTTCTTGTATTTGTTAACTCAAAGTGCTTGCAGAAAACAGCTCTAATAAAATTAAGATTGATTACATATACCACCTAATTCTTTGAATAGAAGTTTTTTTTCCCCTTTTGTTTGGTTTTTAAGAAATGTGCTCAGCTTAAAATGTAGTCTTTCTATGAATTGATACAACACTTTCTGAAGCAGGCATGTCTTAGCGGGTTGAAAAAAAAGAGATTGTATGGTGACGTGGTAAAGAGCTCATGCTCGGGTCTAGAAGAAATCTATGTTTTAATCTTGACTGGATTTCCTGCTGGCTTTCTGACACTGGAAAGATAACTTTTAAGTGCCTAGAGTTCTCACCTGCAAATTGATTGTACTAATAATGATGACTATCTTAAAGTGGCATTATAAGTATATGAGCTAACACATGAAAACAGAAATTTCCCCTTTGGAAAGCTGGCTGAGTAATATTGATCAAAGATTACTTTCAGGTAAGGATCATTACTTGTGATAAAATAAGAGATCAGTCATGGGAAGACATGGGATCTCTGAGGTTCAGAAAATGTCTCCCAGGTCCTTTAACTATTTTTTTTTTATTTTTTTTATTTTTATTTTTATTTTTTTTTAAAGATTTATTTATTTATTTGTACAGAACTGGGGTACAGGCCAGAGATGCGGAGGGTGAGAGGATTCACCAGAGACAGAGCAGGGAGCAGAACAGGCCGATCGACGAAGTACACTGCTGAGGGGAGCAGCGGGCGGGTCAGGAGAGGTCTGCCACGCCATGTGGTCACCTCCCGGGCAGGCGGGGATCGAACTCATGCGGAAGTGGCTTTAGTTTCTCAGTGCTGTGCTTTAACCCGCTGCGCCACCAGGGAGGGCCCCTTTAACTATTTTTAAGGCCCTTAAGAATGAGCTCTATAGTTCCTAAGGATTCCTAAGGATCTCTCCTACATTTTCCCTCTGCTCCTTGGCAATAGAGCTATATAATTGCTTGATTATGGCACCTAACACATTTAATATTGACTAAATTGGTACTGTCAGTGTCCAGGGGTACCTATTAGCAAATGATGGATATTTGTAAAATAACCGTGACCTCTGGAATTTACAGTTCATAGTCTTAAGTAGTTATGGAGACATAGTGGAAAGGTCAGGCCAGTTCCCATTTTGTATAAAGTCTGTGTAAGTCCTGTAAGTCCTAACGATCAGATCATGATCATTAGAGGTATTCATTAAGACAGTCATTTCTGTTTTATAAAATACAAAGTTCACTTAAGGCAGCGTAGCCTGTTTGCTGGGCCAGACGCTCCCAGTAAAAGGGGCGGTGAGCTAGACTGCCTGTGTATTATGCTGTTATGTAACGGTTTTAGTAATTGATGTCCTTTACTCAGTAGTGACATACAACTAAGCTTTTAAGGATTCCCTTTGTATTTCAGTACCAGAGAGGGATTAAAGCAAGGAGAGTCTGTCAATATTTTAATCAGTTCTTTCCTAGCTTTGGTCAGAGCTTCGCCTCTTATTAACTTTGGATTTAGACCCTGCTGATTTTTCTACATATCACTAATCCACATCATTACAAACATTTGTTTGGTCTTCTTGCTCTTAAAAGTTCTCTTATCTAAAGTCAATAATATCAACCAAAAGTAGCTTTAAATATCTACCTTGGTGGCTGGATAAGAAGAAACAGTCTTCATAGTTTTAATTCAGAGATTGATAGAACTGATACTGATAGATATAAAAAGCACATAAACCTCTGGCGAATTTTATGGCTTGTGGTTATAACGTTTAAAAAAAAGGCATACACTTTCAATGAAAAATGCATAAATAACATTGTAGGTGTAAATTGTCAAATGGTTACAGTTAATAGTGGGGGGAGTTAGAGGAGAATATAATATAAAGGGGGAGATTTTCTAATTCTAAATTCATTGAGATCATAAATTATGAAAGACACTTGGAGGAAAAGCAGAGAAACTTTGAGAAAAGTAAATTCTGGTCTTAAAACACAGCCAGCAAGAAATCTAGTTGGTCAGAATGATTTGATAGAATGAGTCAGTGGATTTGAGAGAAGCGGAGAATGAGGGAGTCCCGAGCACTGCCTGGCAAGGCTTTTGCTTCAGTAGGTGCACACACGAGGGCCTGCATGTGCGTTTTCTTTTCTTTTTTTTTTTTAATATATAATAGTTTATTTTTACATCATTTTGTACTTTTTTTTTTTTTCCATCTCAATTGTAATCCCCATGTGCTTCCCATTACCAAGTCACCCATGCTGCACGTGCATTTTCTTCTGGGTTGGCCTTCTTTTTCTGTGTTCGATTCCTTTTGTTCTAGTTCTGCATTGTTGTTACTGTTTTCCCACCTAAGATCTTCACTTTAAACCCTGCTATTGGTTTGGGATTGTACCCTTCAAAGAGTGTTTGAGCTTTTGGGGTTGCTTCTATTTTTTAGTAGACTTCTGCAAGTTGGTGGGAGGTGGTCCATCAGCACCAATTCCATATCGTCATAATATTTCACTTGTGTATGTCTTGAATGTGAGACTTATGGAGACTTTGTGGGGAAGCGGTCTGAAATTCCCCTCTAATTGTGTTAGGATAATGGTGCCAGACCTTAAAAGCTAGATCTTGATTTGTTTTTCACTGAAATCTCGTGTTTTGTGATATACCAATTTAAGTAATTGAATATTTTCAGTTTATGAGGGATAGTGTTCTTAAAAAAGTAACCAGCATGATATTCCATTCTGTCACATTACGAAAGTCATCATTCTGTCCTTCTGGGAGAAGTAGAAGTTTCTGAACTCACCAAAATGCCTAATTATCACGTTTATTATAGATTGTAAGGTTTACATCATGACATTTTGACATAGGTATACTTTTCTTTTTCTTATTTTGTTGTGTTGTTGTCGTTTTGTTTTGTTCACTTAAAGGAACCTCAAGCCAGTTACCCAGCTATATGTCAGTGTGGATGCTAGCACCAAAGATAGCCTGAAGAAAATCGACCGCCCGCTTTTCAAGGATTTCTGGCAAAGATTCCTCGACAGTTTAAAAGCCCTTGCAGAAAAGGTAGGATTTATGACATCTCTGAAAGGAAAGGGAAGTACGGTGAACCCCTTCCTTAGCTTGCTCTCATTCCCCACAGTTTGTTACCTATGGTCAGCCTCCATCTGACAATATAACATAAAGTATATTGAGAGAAAGAGATCACAGTCACATAACTTTTGTAAAAAGTGTGTTGTGAAAATTGTTCTGTTTTTCATTTTTTTTATTGGTAACCTTTTAATGTGTTTAACTTGTAAATTAAATGTATCATTAGTATGGACATATAGGAAAAACCATCGTATATACAGGGCTCAGCACTATTCATGGCTTTACACTCCAATGAGGTCTTGGAATTCATGGCCTCAGACAAGTACTGGGAGTCTTAAGTGTAGCTTTTATGGATAAGGGAGGAGAGCAATAGGGAGAGGGTTTTTTCCCCCTGTACTTTTTAAAGTTAAACAAATAAAAAAAACCAAAACCTTTAACTCTTTCTAGACTGCCACTTTTATTATTCAGCGAACATTTATTGGTTTCCTCTTAAGTTTGTAGTGTTCTGCCTTAGATATACTCTTTGCCTTTCTTGTATGTAGGGAGAGAATCTATACATTCCCAAAGTTACCTAAAGCACATGTACATCACATCCTAGAAGAGTTGTCAATAAATAGTGTATGCTTCAACATAAGTTAATTTGCAGACCCAGAGTTCCTATCACCGAGGAACTCAACCTCAGGATACCCAAATTTATTGCCTTCTCCTGTGTACACTTGCCCCTCTTTATATTTAGCTCCTCTGTGGCATATGTATATTTGCTTTCCCTTTAAACCTAAGATAACCGGTTCTTTTCCCTTAGGACATGTCTCAGTAGTTGCTCCCCCTCTTCTCTCGTAGTTCCTTTCCCATTTCTGTTCTCTGTGCTTTTGCCTGACAGTTCTTCATACTGTACCCAAATGTGAATGATAATGAGAATCACTATAGAACTTTAAATATTAGGATTTCCTATTTCAAAAGGGATTTGAGATTATGTATTATGCAAACCACTGGTGGCCTTTGATGTGGGAGCCCCAGGAAGCCCCTCTGTCTGTCCTCTGCTCAGCACTTTGGTGTTCCTAACTGTGACTGTCAGCCACTCACTGTGTGCTGTGCTGCCTTTTGTTACCATTTTTACAGTTGTGTACAACACTTTTCTTAGTCTTTGTTTACTTCCTTGGGGCCTTTCTACTTCTTTGACTTGTATAAATTTCTATACAAACCTTCAAGGACTGTGACAAGGGGCATTTGTCACCAGAACCCCATTGGACCTATTCAGAGGCTGCTCCTTCAACAGTTTTGATAAATGTTTGTTAAAAGAATGAATGGGTGAAAACTCATCAGGACTTTGTCTGTAGGGGTAAAATGGACATGATTAAATCTCTTTCTTCCCTTTTTTTTAAAAAAAAAATTGTGTCCTTTTTTGGGTGATTTACATCAATATTATTTAAAAAATGCAAAGTAGACATCACATTGGTTTCTGATCTATCTCAGACTCCTTGTAAAGCAAGCAGGCTTAGTGTTTGTTAGATTCTTAAACTCTTGTCTCTGGACTGCACCTTCAGCTGTATCCTCTTCACTTGTTGCTAAGATAGGAGATTCATAGCATAAAAATCAGAATAGTTTAGATGGGAGTAAATAGCAGGAGCTGGCAATATCAGATACAACTGAGGTTCTTATTTAGGCTATGCTCTGAGTCAGTTTGGAAGCTGAGAAGTAGGCATTAGCAGAATTGCTTAACGGTTTCTTTTGCTTTTGGCCACAGCGTTCCACAAAATGAATTCTTATTTTGATATTATAAAGCCTTTAGATGTCCAGTTCAATTGTAACTATTCAGGGTTGATTCATTGATCATAATCAATGACCTGAAATTCTAAAATATTTTCTAATCTATGAGCTCCTTATTACAAGGCAACTGGGTTGCCCATATAACTAATATTGTTCCATGTAATTTTAATTTTGGGGGTTAATTTTTGCTCTTCCATATTATGTACATGTTCTGCTTACTCTCATCAAGCCACCCATGTTCACCCCCAGCTGCCTGCTTCCCCCATGTTCTGTTAATTGGTCAGCTTCAGGAATCTACCCACAGGGTGGGACAGTTGCTTTCTAAGCACTTTGTAGCAGTGTTGAGTTTGTGTTTCTCATTCTTGTATTGCTTATGTTGTCATTTAAGAAAGGCGATCTGTGATAGGAAACTGTTTTCTTTAACTCAGGCTGTGTTATTTCTTTTTGAATATCTGATACCAATGCTACATACAGTAAATACTTTCAAGAATGGTCTGTTTTACCGCTATTTAAAACTCAAAACATATATGTTCTTACTATACATATTAACTAGAATCAAATGTATTATTACATCCTAAAATAATTTGAGTTCTTAAATAAAAACTTTAAAAGTGTTATTTCAGGTACGTATTTAGAGTACCTGGAATAGACAGCAATTCCATCTAGCAATTCCATATTATCTTCTGTTACTTGTTTAGGCTCTTGTATAACCAAGCAAGGAAAGGCATTTGAAAAGAAAGTTTCTTGAACTTTATATAAAAAAAGATCTTTTATTTGCCCCAGGATTTTCTGCCTGTTTAGGAGCTAGTGGGACCAAAGTAGGAGACCGCATATTTTGTTTTTTTACTCCTGGCAAGTATCACCTTTACATTTACATAGTGTTACAGATCTTTATCTTTTGCTAAAATGTTCTTTTTCAGATATGAGAGAAATGCATTTGCACTTGAATATGTGGGGGCTAGACAGCAATTCCATCTAGGTAACAGCAAACATGTGTGTCAGTGTCAGTTTCCTCCTACCACAATTATTTGTCAAACAGTCCTTCCCCTCCCTCAAAAAAAAAAAAAAAGAAGAAGTTCATCTTGTACAAGAAGCACTGCAGACCTTTGGCAGTAGACTTTTATCAGCAGTGTGAACAGAAGTGTTTCTGTCAGCACATTATTATACTAAGTAGAGCATCCAATAGGAAATTGAAATACTTAATCCTTTTCCATTTTTAAGCAATAATAGCGAACTCTTGAAACCTCAGATTTGAAAAGAAAGACAACAATTTATTAGTCACCCTTATCATATAGTGAAACTTCTCTATGCCAGTCCATCCCAAGAATATACCGTTGTGTTGATTTTGAATGCGTCACGGCCATCTCTCTGCAATGGTAAATTCAACATAGGGAAATGGAACATCAATGTTGTTTTATTGTGAGTCACGTCTCTGACAGAATTTTCCACATTTCATCTGTTTCTAGTGTCATGCATAATGTTGCCTTCTATGTAAATGTACAGACGAATAAATGTTTAGTAAACATTTGGTCTTATTGTCTGGATTATATCTCCTGGTGGCCATATTAATGTACTTTACAGTTTGGCCTGCCCTGTTGCCCTCTTGTCCCAGTCTATAGGCAGCTCTTGTGTGTCTTGCATTCCTCGTAGCACTTCCTCATAGCATTTACCATGATTGGCTGTGATGGCTTAATTGTTCCCCTGAAACTTAAGGACCCCGGAGAGAAGACAGTGTATGTCATGATGTTACAGTGTATGGCATGATGTTACAGTGTATGTCAGTTTTTGCTCACTGTGGTATTCCCAGCTTTTATCACAGTGTGATACCCAGTTACTGCATGATGTTTGATGAATGAGCAAATTGGACTTATCCTTTCCCTACTTGGTGTATTTAGTTGTTTGCCAACAATCTGCCTTGTTTATAGTAGTCAAGATTTGGGATTCTGAAACTAGGCTGCCTCACTTTCAGTGCTACTCCTGACACTTGGCTGTGTAATAATATTGGGAACACTCAGTCCTCCGTGGGCAAAAAGGGGTTAGTGACAGTGCCCTAAGAAAGGTCTAGACAGAAATAACAAAGGATCATGGGATACCTGTGTTTTTACATTTTAAAATATGCTGTCTTCTATCACCAATTTTATATGTATGATTAAATGTTGTGGGCATATAAGATTTAAGTCAATATAATGGTAAATATCAGTATAACTATCATCTAGCTTACAACACAAAACATTGCCACGTCAGTTGCAGGTCCTGTGATTCCCCCACTTCTATGATATTTCTGCTCATGCCTGCTCTTTCAGAGGTAATCAGGGTCCTGCACTAGGTGCTTGCATGCCAGGCTGTTTTTATGCATATATTTAAATCTCCATAAATCACAAAGCTGTTTTCCATGTTTTAGAACTCTCTATTATAGTGTTATTCTATTTGTATCATTTTACAGCTGGCTTTTGGGGACCATTTTAAAAGATGTGCCACTGAAAGTTTTTTTAGATGTACAGCTTAGTGGTGTTAAATACACTCCTGTTTTTGAGTAACCATCACTACCATCCAATTCTAGAGCTTAGTTATCTTGCCAAACTTTGTACCCATTAAACAGTCTTCCTTATCACTCCCTCCTTGCAATTTGGTTTGTGTTTGTTTAAGGTTGTAAGATTTATTCATATTGACATTTAATTTTGGGACATTGTAACTGAGTAACATTCCATCCTAAAGATATTCCAGGATATTGTTCTTCATTGTCCTGTGGATGGGCATTTGGGGTTTTTGAAGTTTGAGCTCTGCAGTCATACCATTATTAGAAGAGTTTCTTTATGGACATGTATAGTAGTTAATGTCTATACCTAGGAGTGAAATAGCTGAATTGTAGGATATATACATTTTCAACTTGATGAGGCTTTTCAAAGAACTCCAGAGCTGCTATACACAGAGAACCAGTGTATTAGAGTTTTTGGATGGTCAGATTATAGAAGTAAACCCATCTATTCTATGCATGGTAGGGCCTCTAGATCCCGGAGTGACTGGTTGATTTATTAACCGGGACACTGCCCCACCCAAGGCCTGCTGACAGTACTGTGTACAGAATTAAACTAAATAGAAGGCAGAGAGCATTATTATGTCCTAATATTTAATAGTAGCTAATAGTTATTAAATGATCTTTTACTAGTTCTAATCCTGCTAATCATTTTGCTTTATCTTTATACCTTTAT